ATTAAAGGAAAGAAGAGCAACTCAAATATGAAATTAAGGTAATTCATGCCTAATGACTTATGGTTGTGTGGTTCTGATCTGCTGAGTATGCCGGTAGCTGCTGTTTCGAATCTTCTGACAGTGCCACTGCTGCGGCCGCTGCTGCAGGAGTCATAGACTGGTATTGAGGAGGCAATGGGGCGGCCTGATGCTGTGTGTAGAACGCTTGTTCATGCTGAGGATTGGCGTATTCGTAAGCGTAGTTAGTGGTTGCAGGCGGAGGCATGGCAGCGGACTGAGAAGGATGGTGATGCATTTGAGAGAACCCCAGGTATTGCTGCTGGTATTGGTTAGAAGGAAGTTGGACTAATGTTGGAGTTTGTGGCACAGCCGTTTTGTAAACACTTGCAAACATTTCAGGCGAAGCCGCGTTTGTGGGATACACAGGTGGGATATTACTGTCCTTGTAAACGGCAGAGCCAGCATTGGGGGATGTTAAGCCGCTTGAGGCAACCACGGTTGTGTCAGACATGTTAGGTTGCAAAGGGATGTTGTACGATTGTTGTGACTGCGCAACAGGCATCAAATAGACTGGATACTGCTGGTGATCGATTTGGTGATGAGGTTGTTGCTGTGACGGCGGTGCATACATTGTGTAGTAAGATTGTATTGGCACTTGGCCTCCGGCAGGATGGTGCATGTAATGTGTGCTGGCATGGACATATTGTTGTTGTTGTTGCTGCTGCTGCTGTTGTAGTTGTTGCTGCTGCTGCTGCTGCTGCTGCAGTTGTTGTTGTTGTTGCTGCTGCTGCTGCTGATCTGATTGTTGAGGAATAGCATACCCGGAATCCTGAACTTGCTGAACTTGGTTTTGAGATCCCGGATCGGAAGCATCACTGGGTGTATTCGGGCTAGCAGGACCTCTGATGTTGTCCCTGTTTGCAGCTTGAATCTGCTCTCGATAGTACATTGGTTTGGAGAGAGAGTTTGCGGATGCAACGCTACTATCACTGGACAATGTGGACAAACAGTATAACCCAATTTACACAAACTATTATCTCCAAACTCCAAAAGCAAAAATTAGAAAACTGCAAGCCGCTTGTAGCTCAGTTATCCCGATTTCCCCGAGTTCCCTAGTTCTATTTCCCTCTTCCCAATATCGCTTGTATAAAATAAAATCACTCATCGAGCTCTACACCTAAATATATAGAGGCACGTCTCTTCATAGTTCATACTTATGGCATTTACTTTGAAATCGAAACTTTCGTCCATTTTTTTTAATAAACGATATTCTAAACTATTCTAATATACACGAAAAATTCAAAGTCAGCTGAAAAGTGCGGGCACACAGGCCTAACCCACATTTGCAAAATTATCATCTTTACGGAAAGCAAATATTTGACACACAGAGAAAGCACATACCTTGCAACTGAATCCGGTGAAGGCAAACTATAACCTCCTCCTCCGCCGCCAGCCTTATTAACTTGCAGAGGCTGCACCGGCAATGGCAGAGGAGGCTTACGAAATCCGACCGGTATACTCTGATCTGGTGATCTCTCATCATCTACCCTGTTCATATTTTCTCCAGAAACGCCAGAAACATTCATCATCTGAGCACCAGGTGGCGGCAAAGCACCCGAATTCGACGCCTTTGGCGGCGGAGCAGCAACAGCAGCAGCAGCATAACTAGTAGTCATCTGAGAAAACTGCTCCTCGATCCCAACAGTCCTCTGACCACCCTGCATCAACCTATCACCAGTTTCGTCCATTCGAACCCGAATCGGAGGCAAATTCGACAAGCAAGTCGATGAGGAAGACAACCCGAAAGAGGAAGTACTGTCCTCGGCGAAGGTGGACTCTTGATTGATCGAATGACCATCATGTCCGACCACATTATTAACATTTTTCATCAAACCATTGTTGTTGTCCTGTTTGTTGTTGCCTCCGAAGAAGTCGCCTTGCGCCTCCAAATCATTGCAAGAATTCTCACTCCCCGCCAGCAAGTAATCCATGGTGGCGGAATCCGACAGGTTCCTCGGAAAACCCGACCCGTTCAGCGCGTCGACGAACCAAGACTCGGACTTTGCGTCGTCGAGCAGAGCACCCATCGAGGCGGCGGTTTCCGGCTTCGCGAAGAAGAGAAACAATCGGAGGCGGGAAGGCTTGAGGGGGGAGGCGGAGGAGGTGCGGTCGTATTCTTCGAACATGTTGTCGAGATCTTCGTCGGTGGTGACGGAGATGAGGGAGTCGAGATCTTCGGTGGGGAGCTGGTACTTGAGGGAGAAGGGGCGGCCGTTGAGGAGGGTTCGGGAGAGGCGGGAGCAGAGGTCAGAGAGAGAGGAGTGGCGCTCGGCAACGAACATGCGGGTTTCTCCGCCGACGTAGCAGAGGGACTTGTCGTGCGGGCGGGGAATGATGTGACCACCGTAGCTGCACATGAGGCGGAGCTTGGCGCCGGGGACTTGAGGGAGGGGGTCGTCCCAGGTGTCAGCATTGCGGGAGCGTGGGGAGGAGTCGACGGAGTCGGGGTAGTTGAGTTGCATGCTGGTGGCTGCCGGAATTGCGGTGGTGGTGATTGTGGTGGGGAGAGGCGGGAGTGGCGGTGGATCCATTTGGTGGTGGCTGTGGGAAATGAAAGGTGGTGAGGCTTCGTGCTTCTTGAGGTATGTTAAGTATTTGTCTATTTCACCTTTGAGTTTCTTTAGGAGAGGATATTATACTCTGATATAAGAGGAGGGAGACAATGTCACGAACACATTATTTTCATAAATGAGCATGAATGATTAATTTGTGAGAGAAAGATTTGAACTCGAAGGCAACAGATATACATATTATTCTCGGTATCTAAGCAAATTAAAATGAATATGACTCTAATTTATCGGAAGAGATGTTTAAATTTTCACAAACATATTATCTTGATAAGTTGATCTAAATCACTAACGTACAAAAAAATTTAAACATGAATGTAAAAAGACGAAGACACTATTCTCTCACACTGGTCCAACTCACGTTACTTAATTACCTTTGAGTATTAATTCAATGAAATGCTTGCACTTTCAAGTTTGATTAATATGCATCGAACAATGAACAGATGACAGGTCACCTCCCCTTGGGCTGATTTGTCCACTATGTTTTGCTTCTAACAAAAGAGATCTCAAAGACAAAAGAAGAGCCTTTAATTATGTATCAACAATGGGATTAAACTAAGCAGATGGGTTTTATCTCTGCAATACAAGTAATTAGTAAATTTAGTAGATAACAAATCAAAAGTTAATCAAAGTTTAAGTAAGCAAATGAAGGTCTAGTTTGGTCAAACTCAAATTAAATCAGGTCAAATCTGAAGAAAAAACAAGAAAATGAAATATATTGCTGCTATGCCTGCGTGGAGAGAGTTGAAATTTCGACGTGTAGCCCATGCACTGAAGCACATGAACTTTACAGAGAAACGGACCAAGCACATGCACATTCATCGGAACTTGTGCATGATTTATTCTAAGTTGGGTTTTAGAAACACGGCTTGTTAAGGAAGTATCGGAATACAAGTAATTTTTACTGTGACGTTTGATGTATCAAATTGTGTTTTCGTCAAATCTCTTGCATACTGAATTTATAATTGAACTTAATGAAAGCAAAACCCCTTTCTTTCGCTTTAAAATGATTTGCCCCTTTTGCTTCTCCTTCAGATACGAGAAGGCTGTATCGCAATATCAGAACACGAGAGAGCAAATATAGGAGAACAATGTGGTGTGGAGTGTGGACAATATTAAATCTCAATGTATGAATATATATGTACGTATCATAGGAGAGAAGCTTATAGCAAAGATGATACAATGATGGTGCATCAAATTGATAACGCACTGTTTATGAATGTTAATTTTCTTATATAACGTCATATAAAAGAAATAAAGACAAAATCAAAGCAAAGATCATTTGTTACCGACCTCTCTTAACATGATTAACTTAAAATATCAATTACATGATATCATCGATGTATGAAAGTTTTTTCGCTTCTTACAAGTCACTTGATTCACTTTGACTAGTACTAGTAGCCCTTTTCTTTATATTGTAATATTTCTCTTTTGCATGCTAATGTGAAGATTTGTTTGCAGTGGTGTGTCCATTGTCCAATGTCTTTATTAAGCATCCATGTGTTGGATACTTGGATTACAGAAATCAGAGGCCTTTCCAGCGTGCAATTACTGTCAAAACTTCTATATTATAATGTTTTAAGCAAATCTAGTACAAGGATGTGAGCTGAGTTTTCCTAAATATACAATATATCTTATTTTGGTCGACATCTTCATGGTACCTGAAATAATTGATTATACAAGCTGGACATGAGTTGTGTAGCAAAGCGGGTGAGAACTATAGAGGACTTGATAAACTCGATGGTTTTGGAATTTGATTAATCTCAAACATTTCCCAAGGAAAAAATTAATAAAATTATATTCATTTAAAAGAAATTCTCTATGTCCAACCTATATATACAAGGAATTTTGCTAGAGAGATGTACTGTTGGACAAATCAATATATATATGAACAATCATGTGGTAATATCCAACAAAAAAATCACGTTGTAATAAAAGTCACAAAATTCGAATCTCAAATGTGACTTAGGCTAGTTGATCAGGATTGTGTATCTCATTTTGCATTTAGGTTCGAATTAGTGTCCCATGATTTAAAATACCAGTATTTAATATCATCTGCTATAATTTTTATTTGTAAACAAAATGTCTTCAACAATACGTTTGCCATATTTTCTTAACGCATTTTTAAAGAATAATTTGTAGATTATTCAACAACAGCAAAAAGGAAAATAAAATTTATAGCAAATGAAATAAAATGGAGAAGGATGAGGACTGAAGTTATCATTCCAACAAAGTATTAGGATACCTAATTTACTTTCTATTTTTGCCAGAGTACAACATAGTTATGTTCCCCATCTATTTATGTATGATGTTTGTGCGTGAGTGCATGTTTTACCTCACAATTGGGCTAACTTAACTTACCTTTAGGATTCTGTGTTGGACCATTAATCCTAGGTTAACCTATACCTTTTTAATTTCAAAGGTTCTAAGGCACACACACCACGGGGCCCCTCTCTCGCCCTTTCTTTCTGTTTGAATCGCGCCATTGATGAGGGAGCCCGAGGCTTGGGGAGCTTTTCTTCTTATCAACGGTAATCTGTTTCTATCTCTCTATGTCCAATGTATATTGGACAATGTTTATTAGGAAAATATGATACGTCTTATGAAAACTAGGGTTCATGCATGTCTTCAAGAATTGGGTTGTTTAATTTTCTAATATATATGTGTGTGTGTGTGTATACACAAACTAGGGTTTGTGAAAAAGAAGGCTTCATGTTCTTTGATTAATAAGAATTTTAACTGGCAGTTTGAATTGTAATCAGATAATTTCCATGAAACCCTAGATTGAGCATCAAATTTCTGCCAAAAATGGATTGGCATTTCATATGTCATTGATGGTTGTCACGCTAACAAGCTCGAAAATCATTGCTTTTGAGCATTCTTAGTGCTCGTTTGGTGCCAAGGATTGATTGGACAACTTCCTAGATTCTAGATTCTAGATTTCATCTGATTCTTCATCAAATGTGTCATTTTCAGGGTACGTATCTTTGGGAGAAAGAAAACGGTGAAGCTAATGACTTTTGATTCTTCAATTGTACCTGTTCTTCAATTCAAATTGGTGTAACTATACACTCCTTTCCGAAAGACCATTTCGAATTGGTTTCACACTCCAGTTGGAAAGAAGATGCCCGAGATGCAGATAATTTCTCACACATTAAGATCTCATGGAGTCAAAGTGGCTAAAGTGCACAAGTATGACTGGTTAATTCTTGTACTTCTCGCGGCGGTTGATCTATCTTTGAATTTTATAGAGCCTTTTCATCGTTTCGTTGGCGAAGAAATGATGACTGATCTCAAATACCCTTTTCAGAAAGACACCATTCCTTTCTGGGCTGTTCCAGTATGTATCAGTTTCTCACCATCTAATATCTTTCTACCTTACAGAGAATACTGAATACTTTACTATATCTTCACTTTCTGCGTGTAGATTTACGCGGTACTCTTGCCTCTCTCCATCTTTCTCGTGTACTACATTTGCAGAAAGGATGTTTATGATTTGCACCATGCCATATTGGGTACTGCCTGTGTCCTTATAGGCTTCCTGTATACTATATTTTTCTTTGGAAATGATTTCCGCACACCCCTTTTCTTTCTGTTGGTTGATAATTACTTTCCAACTTATAGGTCTTTTCTATTCTGTTCTCATAACTCTTGTAATAACGGATGCAATCAAGGATGCTGTTGGCCGCCCGCGTCCAAACTTCTTCTGGCGGTGCTTCCCTAATGGAATAGGTGTAGGTGACAATTTTCTTTTTCTTTCGCTAACGATTGTTGTAAGCGTAAGGGCTTGTCCCTGCATTATGCTGAACTGCTTTTCAATCACGTCACAGGTATATGATCCAAACACTAACAATGCTATCTGCACTGGAGAGAAAAAGATTATAAAGGAAGGACATAAAAGCTTTCCTAGCGGGCATACTTCAGGTATCATATCATCAATCTCTCTTTCTGTGCGTTGTGCATTCTTAACGCTATGCAGTTGGAAAAGACAGTGCCTAATTCGGTTGCGATTGTCAATTGTGCAGTTTCATTTGCAGGTCTTGGTTTTCTTGCATGGTATTTATCGGGGAAGATCAAAGTGTTTGACCGTAGAGGCCATTCCGCAAAGCTCTGCATTGTATTTCTGCCGTTACTCTGTGCTGCTCTCGTGGGAATCTCTCGTGTGGATGACTACTGGCATCATTGGCAGGACGTCTTTGCTGGAGGTCTTATAGGTTTGCTACTAAATGCAATGATACAATTTTCAGTTCCTTCCACTATAAAACATAATGTAGAAAGTTAACAGATGATAATCCATCTTTTGGGACGTTCGATTTGTTTGAGCGCAGGAATTGTCATAGCTTCGATTTGTTACTTGCAATCCTTCCCTCTCCCAAACCAGCGGGATGGTGTGTCTGCTATCTTCTGTTAATATGTTCATGTTTCATCAACTGGTAGAATGCTGACCTAATTTTCATGTCTACATATTTAATCTTTTATTTTTGAATTTGCAGGGTGGGCACCTCATGCGTATTTCCTCATGCTGGATGCGGAGAGGAATGTTGACGAGTCCTTATCTCCAGCCACGAGGGTTAACTCTCTTCGTATGCGAAGAACAGATATCGAGAGTCCAGGCTCAAGTCCATAAGATTCAAGTCCGCCAGTCCATCAGTTACTGGAAGAAGGATAAGATACTGAGTTGAGTTTGTATGTCAAAAGAAATTGTATAGAAGGTATATATTATACATTTTGTATACGTGACGCAGTACTTCATTTGATGACTCCATATCGTATCTGTAAGCTCCTAAGTTCCTGACATCATCATTATTCAATGAAATGCCTTTCTTTCCAAGTTTCATCAAAAGTCGAGAATCTGAACTTTCTAAGGAGTTGTTTGTGAATTGATTTATAAGAAGCACTTATATGATAATCATTTTTATTAGATACACATTGAAATTTTTATCAAACATCTAGTTGCTTCCTGAAAAACCAATTGAAAGAGCTTTCTGAATAAACACTTAATTAGCAAGTGGTTCTCTAAAAAAACATTTTTATGATTCAGAAAAATATTGAGTTTTTCTGTTAAACATAGTAAGAAACACTTTTACTTGAGAGAGAAAACACATTGAACCTTTTCAAAAGCAATCCCAAACATCCTCGAAGTCCTGGTGCTTTTGTTCTAAATATTGCAATGTATTTTTCTTTTCATATAAATCTGTGTCCTTATTTCTTTTGGTGAATAAATATGTTGGTATTTATTTTGACATGTGACGTTCTTGACAATGAGCCTATGAGAAAAAATTAAAAGGAAAAAAAAATCAAAGTCAAAGAAAACAAATAAAAAAAGTGATATTAAATGGAACAGTTGGATGTTAATTGGTGATTGCTGGCAACACCAAAGTCTAGCTCCATTTGCATAATTTCAGTTGCTGCACTGCGTGCTCTCATAAATTCCTTCAATAATCTAAGTCCCTTACCTTATTTGTCTGTGACATAAATACCTGCATTTCATCTTTATCTTCATCACATACCATATATATGTACATGACTATCTATTGCCTTGCTATATAGCTCTCTCTCTCTCTCTCTCTCTCTCTCTCTCTCTCTGAAAAAAAATGCAGATATTTACCGCATGCTGCGGAAACATGAAGAGGTACAGGAGGAGAAGGCGTTACCGCAGACTAAATGAGCAAAACGAGATGGTTTCAATGGGGAAACGCCTTAAGTTTGGGAAAATTCGAGTGACCCCGAAGGTGCGAATGAAGGTCAAATAATCGATAACGCTCTTGAAAAAGTTTAGAAATGCTTACGTGGAAATGATGCTTTGTTTTGCTGGTCGTGTTATGCAGTTGAATAATGGTGATGATCACTTGTATCAGAAGACTAATGCTTCGCAGTTTTTAGCTCGAAAGTAATTGTTTATAAAGTTGTTACAGTCAAAGCTGAAGAACAATTTGTATCCTTTTGTATATGTGTACGGAAAATAACTCATTCTGATTGAAAAAGTTTCTCGATCTCTATGACTCCGTCTTCCTTGTGATATTGTGAAAGGTGAAAAGGAGAACAGCGAGGAGTGCATGATGAATATTTTAAATTTACTAGCGTGCTTCTATAATTTGGGAGAGAAGTTTAAAATATTGAGTTCTTTTTATTTTATTTTTATGGATACACAATGAACAATATTGCAAGATATAATGCTTTTTTTGTTTTTGAAAAGATTATGTTTAATTTCTTTAATAAGGTATATAGGATAAGCTAAAAATTCGAGCAACCAAAGGCGATGCATTGTTTTGATTTTATGTGCATAACAGAACACATGTGTAAGATTTTATCATAAAAAATATCAGTATAACATTAGTAGTGGAAATTTTACTTTGTTTAACATCTAAACTACAAGGAAATAGATTCAAATTTAAGTGCCCATTGACGAGTACACTGCCAACTGCTAAACCAATTTATTACTTGTGGCTATAATCAAACCAAATCTTCCAACACACAGCTGGATGTTGATTGGTAAGGATACAATTCAAAGCAATTAATTGGAAAACCCAACTCACATCACACGTTGTGCATGGCTAGCTGCTGAATTTAATTTCTCGAATTACTTACTTTGCCTAACATCATGGGCATTCACAATTCCTGCACGACTACTGCTACCCACTTTGGTTTCTTCACCAAGTTTTTTTAAGATGGAATATGAATTGCACAACTTAATACTTACTCATCTTTTAATTAATTATTTTGGTCTATTTCTGATCCAATCACACCTACTTTTTTAGTTATGACTTACGAGCCATTCAACTCCATTTTATTTGTTTTACAGATCTATCTTCCCTTTGCGTTATATCCCAATCCATCTCTCACACCCTCCGGCATAGAGAGACGGACTTTGAGGAAGCTAGCATGGAGTGCTACAGCTACCGAAGGAGGAGATCTTCGTCTAGTTCGAGAGGATGCCCTTACAGTAGAATAGACAATTTCGTAACGGATGAGGACGAGGAAGAGGAAAATGAGAAGATTGCAGTAGTGTTGGGACAGAGACAGAGCAGTGATCTCAACTTCGAGAACGCAAAGAGGAGAGGGATACCATTACCAAAACTGCAACGAGCGATAATGTCGTCAATCGTGCTTCTGAAAAGGTATAGAGATGCTTATGTGGGAGTAATGCATAGCCTTGCTGAACATGTTGCGCAGTTGAACAATGGAAATTCCTACTTTTTTAAGAAGCTTCCAAATGTTCCATAGTTCTCAGCTCCGAAGTCGTTAAACGTTCTCCTTCATCAAAATAATTAAGGACAACTTTTAATTTGTGGTACGTTACTTTGGATTAGTGCTGTTGTATTAGGTGATATCTTTCTGTATTTGGTTATATTATGAGAGTTGAAAATATATGTGCTTGTGTATATCAAGAACTGAAATTTATGGAAACTAAGGATTTGATGATGTTTTACATATATTACTAACATATTTATTTTCCTGCTAAAAATCTGGCACCCCAAACCCTAAGAAATGATAATTCTGAAATTCTAATTAGCACTCCAATGAATCCAATATTATATTTGATTTTCTTCAGTAAGTTTTCTGAAAATTACTGACTAATTCTACATATATATTTGGCCCGATGATTTTCAAAGAAACATATTCTCTAAATTCTTGTCCTTGTATACATTTGTATACAGGTAAATATATAATTTCCCACTTGTATTTAACCTTGTGAGCAGAAATGCAGGACCAAATTCTGAGATTCCTCAAGACTGACTAGCTAGTCAATGTTTGGGAAGCAGAATTTGTCATTTTAGCAGAAATGCAGGACCAAATTCTGAGATTCCTCAAGACTGACTAGCTAGTCAATGTTTGGGAAGCAGAATTTGTCATTTTATCAAAATCAGTTTTATTTTAAAATCAACTTGCTTTTATCAATGAACGCTTGTGACTTGTGAGCAGTGATAAAATTGACCGCACATACCTCTGCATATATAATATCTAAAACCATGGAAAGAGGAAGTAAGAGAATATTTGGAGTAGGAGAAGCAAATGGGTGACTCTAGTTCTTGTAGTTCTTCTTGTTGTAGCTACCATGTTCACTCTGCAGCAAGGTTTGCTCACAGCAGCAGGTATATATATATATACACACACATATACATATAAAAGATATGGTCTACTGTATTCACTCTTAATACATAAATTTGATTTATTTTTTAATGAAATGTTGCATGCAGATCACCATGATCTGAATATAGCAAGGGAACTGAGAGAAAGGCGGTCACCACCTCCTTTGCGTCCAAAATAATCACCACTTGCAAACCAACAGCCGGGCATGAGAGTACCTGCTCCCGATCCTCCTGTTGAACAACCGCCTCCGGCTGGCCCTCCTCCTCCTCCCCAGCTTCCAATCCTAAACAACAATAATCTGGCCTGAACTTCTTCACAACATTATCTGCTAATTGCTATGCTTCAAGCGCCAAATGCAGCTATTATGTAGTGATTAAGCTTAGTTGCTTTGTTCATTAAAGATTAATAGATATGCTTAATTTACAACAATTAAGAAGTTGAGAATTTGCACTTTTTTTTATTTCCCTTTGCAAGTTGGAATAAAGGGGTAAGACTGCCACGTATTGTAGGTTTTCTGTTTTATTTGCTTTTATTAGTAAATGCAGTTTCCTTGCTGATTTTCTTGTCACGGATCAGCTAACCAAGTGCCTTCTTCTTCTTCTTCAGATTTCTTATTCCCTTTACTTATCAGTGTTTTCAAAGATTGCTTTTATACGTAACGTAAGTATACTGTTAAGGATAGTAGAGGACCATCATATCACGGTGATTACCTTAGTTGTTAAGTGTTGGTAGATAGGGTTGTTATGTAAAAGTGATGACTAGGCAATAGACATATGTCTATATCCTTTTGTACAGTGTACAAGTAACAGGATCAACCCACTCATCACTCGACAGGGTGCAAGGGACGGGTCATACCATTGCATCTATATATATATATATATATATATATATATATATGTAAGGAAGAACATTCGAAGCATTGTCAGATTTCGGAGGCCTAGAAGAGAACTATTTATTGAGAGAGTGAGTTCCAACATTGTTTGCACTTATAAGCAATTGGGCTAACTCTTGATGAATATCGTCTTTGCTGATGAATAATCAAGCTCTCTTACTTCAATACCTGCTGCAATGGCAGCATGGTTTATATACAAGTTTACAAGCATGCAATAAACAATAATACTGTCCTTAACCCTTGCTGTACTGACAGCATGGTTTATATACAAGTTTAATACACGCATGCAATAAATAATACAGGTGGCAGAAACCATGTGAAGTATTCCTTCTGTCAGGTTGTGCAGCTAAGTATTCCTTCTGTCAGGTTGTGCAGCAAGTGGATTGCAGCTGGAAGGTTGAGGTTGAATTGGTGGTGCTGTCGTGGACCTTGCTGTCGTAGACCTTTCTTTAGGGTTTGGAGTTTTGTGTGAACTGGGTTTATCATGCCCCCGCAAGCTGACGGGGCGTTGACGAACGGGAAGCTTGGAGATAAGATAATGGAAACGGACAGAGGACCAACCCTTGGTTAAAAAATCAGCAATTTGATCTGTGGTAGCCACATAACCAACCTCTAGTTCCTTGCGAATGACCTTTTCCCTTATGTAGTGATAATCCACTTCAACATGGCGCATGCGAGCTTGATAAACAGGATTGGAAGCAACAGCAATGGCGCTGATATTGTCACACCAGAGACGAGGTGGCTGTAATGGTAGATATAAATCACGGAATAGATTTCGAAACCATGATAGATGGGCAGAAGTATAGGCAAGTTGACGATACTCTGCCTCTGTGCTGGACCGGGACACTCCACGTTGCTTTTTCGAACTCCAGGAAATTAAATTATCTCCAAGAAATATGCAGTGACCTCCAGTGGAACGACGGTCATCAGGGTCGCCGGCGTAGTCAGCGTCAGCGAAGGCAGTTAGAGTGAGGGGACTGGGTTTATAAATTAAGCCATGATCATGTGTGCCTTTCAAATACCGTAAGATGCGTTTGACTGCAGCCCAATGTGCAGTAGTTGGAGAGTGCATGAACTGACACACTTGGTTGACAGCGTAAGCAATATCAGGACGTGTAAATAGAAGATATTGAAGGGCGCCCACAACACTGCGAAAAGAAGATCCATCTGAGAGAGGCTCTCCATCATATAAACTCAAGCGTTTACCACTGGGAACTGGCGTTGAGATGGGCTTGGCGTCATCCATATTAGTTGTCTGTAGAAGCTCCAAAATATACTTGGATTAAGTGAGATAGAAAGCAGAAGGCGTCCGTGAAACCTCCATCCCCAAGAAGTAGTGTAAGGGCCCAAGATCTTTCATTGCAAAATGAGTACCAAGCTGCGTGATAAACTGAGACAAGTGAGCATTGCTGTTCCCCGTGATTAATATGTCATCCACATAGATAAGAAGATAAATGATTGTTGAGCCGTCAAAATAGGTGAAGAGAGACGAGTCAGCTTGGGAAGCAGTGAAGCCCAAGTCTTCGAGTTTCTGGGAAAAACATTGAAACCAAGCACGGGGTGCTTGTTTTAAACCATATAGGGATCGTCTAAGTCGACACACATGAGAGGGAAACTGTGGATCAATGAAATCGGCAGGTTGGCGCATATAAACTTCCTCATTCAACGTGCCATGAAGGAATGCATTTTGAACATCAAGCTGGCGGATAGGCCACTGAAAATGAAGAGCAATAGAGAGAATGAGCCGAATTGTGGCATGTGTGACCACCGGACTGAAGGTTTCCCAGAAATCAATTCCCTCTTGCTGATGAAAGCCATTGGCAACTAGTCTCGCTTTAAAACGCTCGATGGAACCATCAGATTTCTTTTTGATGCGATACACCCATTTATTAGGTAATACATTCATAGAAGACTTGTAGGGTACCAAAGTCCAAGTGCCAGTACGCTGTAAAGCGTTGAATTCTTCTGCCATTGCTTGGCGCCATTGGGTAGACTTATTGGCCTGTGAGAAACATGTGGGCTCAACCAAAGTATTAGTAATGTTAGTGATGCAAGCATATCTTGGATTGGGTTTTCGAATTCCTTGTTGACCACGTGTGATCATGGGATGAGTGGATGGAGCAATAGGAAAAGTGATGTTGGCAGGTTCAATATTCACGTGAGTAGTCAGAGTTGGTGAGTGAGAATGGGAGGCTGGAATAGATAAGGGAAGGGTAGTATGGGAAACCGTGGTAGGTAGTGGTAGGGGGTGAGGGAGAGAGGTGGCGACAATGGGGTTTTGAAGGGAAGGAGGGGTCCGTGGGTTCGGATGTGGTTGGGTGTAATGGAAGGTATCAATATCCAGGACATGGTCCAACTGACTAAGGTTTGACAAGGTCGGAGGAACAAGTTCTTTATATGGAAAACTCTTTTCATTGAAAACAACATGACGAGACAGAAAAGACTTGCCAGTGGTAGGATCATAACATTTATAACCTTGATAATTTAATGAGTATCCTAAGAAAATGCATTGTTTAGATTGAAACTTAAGTTTAGTATCAGTGTATGGACGTAAATAGGGAAAACAAGCACAGCCAAATACCTTGAGAAAATCATACTGTGGTGATTTTGAAAACAGTTTTTGGAAAGGAGAGATGCCATTCAATATTTTGGTAGGAAGACGATTAATGAGATAATTTGCAGTTTGAAAAGCGTCATCCCAAAAAGTGTGAGGAAGAGACGCATGAGCAAGTAAAGTTAAGCCAATTTCAACAAGATGACGATGTTTGCGTTCCACGAGACCGTTTTGCTCGGGATGATGAGGACAACTGAGTCTATGATGAATGCCATGTTGAGTGAAAAAGTGTTTAAAAGAAGAATTGACAAACTCGCCTCCACCATCAGATTGAAAAAATTTAATTTTGGTGTTGAACATATTTTCTGTAAGCTTTTTAAAATTAACAAAGGTTTGATAAACATCAGATTTTAACTTTAAAGGATAGAGCCATGCATATCGAGAAAAATCATCGACAAAAACAACATAATACTTGTAACCATTAATGGAATAAGAAGGAGAAATCCATACATCTGAATGTATTAATTCCAAAGGAAATGATGACTGGGAAGAGGATAAATTAAATGGCAACTTATGACTTTTGCCGAGGGGACATGATGAACAAAAGTCGTAGGTTGCATTACCAGTTAATGGTAATATATTTTTGGAAATTAGATTACGTAAAACATAAATTGCAGGATGACCCAACCTAGAATGCCAAGTAGCATCCGACACTCTAACACCGACAAATGCAGAGACTCCATTGTTGACCACAGAAGAACTTGAAAATGGATAAAAACCATTTTTACTCCGGCCTTGCAAAAGCATCTTCCCCGTTTGAAGGTCCTGAACACGGTAGGAATTGGGATATAAGGTCAGTGAACAATGATTGTCTTTGGTAAATTGATTGATGGAAATAACATTAGTAGAAGCATTAGGGCAGTGAAGGGTGTTGGGAAGGGTAAAGGAGTGATTGGGTGTGTGAATAATAGAAGTGCCAACATGAGAAATGTGCAAACCTGATCCATCCACCACACCATTAACATTGTCAGTGCCATTGTAAGGACGAGGATTCGAAACCTGATTCAAATCATGAGTGATATGTGCATTGGCTCCAGAGTCAAAAAGCCAGTTTTGAATGCCAGAGGGAGAAGCAGACGCCGGAGACGGTGCAGCAGCAGCATAAGCTTGGAGACGTGGAGCAGGAACACATCCTTCATAGGCCATATTGAGGCGATTGAAACAATCGATGGCAGAATGGCCGTGACGACGACATATTTGGCATTGGATACGGCCACCAGATTGGGTTGGAGAAGGAGGAGCACCAAGAATGCCATAATGGGTTTGTCGGGGTGGAGGAGCATGGTGTTCTTGGCCTTGTGGACGAGGAGGAAACTGGCCACGGCCGCCATTGAAGTGACCACGGCCTCCTCGAAAAGCACCGCGACCACGAGAAGGTCCTGAACTACCTCATCCAGCAGCAAGGGCAGTGGGCCCATTTTCAAACACAGTATGAAGCTTTTGACGTCTCTCTGCACCAAGAAGAAGAGCCTCAAAGGCACTGTAAGTGATGGCCTCATCCCTTGCTTGTGCAGAAGCAACAATACTCTCATAAGCAGGCCCAACATTATTTAAAATAATGGCAACAAGATCAGAGTCAGTCACAGGAGAACCAGAGAGGGAGAGAGTGTCAGCAAGACCATTAATACGATCAAGAAACTCAGCAATAGAGGAATCACCACGATGGGTATTCATAAGCTCACTACGCAATTGGAGGAGACGACCAGTAGACTGAGAAACATACCTGTCTCGTAAACAAGTCCATGCAGAATGAGAACTTGTCTTATTAATAAGAGAGGCAAGAACGGTGGGATGAACCGAACTGTTGATCCAAGAGAGGACCATAGCATCGTGTTGAATCCATGCATCAAAGTCAGGATTGACTTTATCAGTGAGTTGGCCATCATCATCCTGCAAGAAGGCAGGAGGACATTGGTTGGTTCCATCAACAAAGGACACCAGATTCCTGCTTCGAAGCAAGGGCAACATCTGGGCATGCCATAGGGGATAGTTGGTACGATCCAACTTTATAGTCAGAAAGTTGGAAGCATTTGGAAGAGAGGGAATAGCAACGGGAGTTGAGGGATTTAAACTGGACGCCATGAGAGAGAGAAGAGAAAAAAATTAAAGCTTTTGGTCGTTAGACTGTTAGCTCTGTGATACCATGATGAATATCGTCTTTGCTGATGAATAATCAAGCTCTCTTACTTCAATACCTGCTGCAATGGCAGCATGGTTTATATACAAGTTTACAAGCATGCAATAAACAATAATACTGTCCTTAACCCTTGCTGTACTGACAGCATGGTTTATATACAAGTTTAATACACGCATGCAATAAATAATACAGGTGGCAGAAACCATGTGAAGTATTCCTTCTGTCAGGTTGTGCAGCTAAGTATTCCTTCTGTCAGGTTGTGCAGCAAGTGGATTGCAGCTGGAAGGTTGAGGTTGAATTGGTGGTGCTGTCGTGGACCTTGCTGTCGTGGACCTTTCTTTAGGGTTTGGAGTTTTGTGTGAACTAGGTTTATCAACTCTTACTATATTACCAATTTGTTTTATGGTGGAATCTCAACTTCTTAGCATATTGTGTTACGACCTAGCTCGACATCTTCTACCATGCATAGAGAGAACTAACAGAAATGGAATACTCAATATTCATTAACTGTTTTCCTTCTGGTACAGGCTTGCTATTTATAGTGAGTTTCCACTAACCTTCTAACTAACTAACCATCTTTCCACAACAATTCCCAACTAATTTTGCCACCTGTCATAGTCTCCTAACAATAACCCCCCCTCGAAACCGAGCTTACAAATCACAAACTCAACAATACAAACAACACAGATTGAACTAACTTGCAACAACAGAAATCTGGTACTCAATACAGAAAGCGGTTGGGCTGATTTTCTTGTCACAGATCAGCCAACCAAGTGCCTTCTTCTTCTTCTTCTTCTTCTTCTTCTTCAGATTTCTTATTCCTTTTACTCATTAGTGTTTTCAAAGATTGCTTTTATACGTAACGTACGTGTACTGTGAAGGATATTAGAGGACCATCATATCACAGTGTACTCAATACACTATTAGTATCTACCTTAGTTGTTAAGTATTGGTAGATAGGGTTGTTATGTAATAGTGATGACTAGGCAATAGATAGTTATTTATATGTCTATATCCTTTTGTACAATGTACAAGTAACAAGGTCAACCCACTCATCACTTGACAGGGTGCAAGGGAAGTGCTCCACTTCACTCGATTTATGTTGTCCACATGAAAATTCGTCACACGTGATGTGTGTTGAGAATATGAATCTCACATCGAAGAAATAAGAACACGTGCTTATAAGTAATTGGACTAACTCTATTAAAAAACATTAATTAGGTGGACAAGAATAGTAATCCAACACGAGTACTCCATTTTTGTTATAGAAATAGAGGATTACATAAGTAATCTCAAGATGTATTAAAATTCTATTATTACATCTCGAATCAAGTAACCAAGACTATAAAGTTCGCAACAAAAAAGTGCTCACAAAAGGTGACCACAAAGAAACATATTCAGAATTGATACTTATGACTCATTTGAAATTATTTTACATAGAATGTACTTTTTACTCACAAGTGTTTTTACTTAAAGTAGTTTTATAAGACAAACATTCTATAAAAAATCCCAGAGTTTTATATATAAAAAAAAAAAATTACTCAAAGTCTATTTCTCCAGAAAACGCTTCTATAACTCATAGTGCTTCTATATTAAAATATCAAACTTAAGTTTAAAAAAGCGTTTGTGAACTTTTTTTGAGAAATCCGCTGAACTAGTCACTCAGCCCACAAAACATAAATTCGGACTAGTCCCCCTTTAAGAAAATCCCACACCGCAGCAGCCCAGCCCACATCCCTTCACTCTGCACTCTCTGTGTTCGTCATTCTTTCTTTTTCCCAGTCGTCTTCCTCCTCCTGCGCCTGTATCCTAATAAATCTTCTTCATCTTCTTATCAGATGAATCGGTTTTTCCATGACCAGGTAATTTTCTTTGCATTTGGAAATTGTTTCGTGATTCAGCCGACATTTATTCCACTGCATTCCATTTTTCTTGTGCTTGAATTTGATATTAATATTGCTTCTTAAACTTTCATATTTCCTGGATTTAGGTTGATTAATCTTTTTTTTATATTTAGTATTAGCTTGCCCCCATTACCAATTTACTAAAGGTCATATCTTTGCTTAAATTTGAGATATTTATCAACAGATGGGGAGCTGGTTGCCCAGAAACATGTTCAATTCATTCTCTCAGTCGAAAAGGTCTGTCTTTTAATCCACATTCAATCAAAATTTTTTTCTTTTGTATATATGTGTGTCTATGTATTTATATAGAGTGTTTATATGTTTGAATATATATGTATGTGTATGTGTCCGTATAATAGTGACATGGTGACAATGTATTCAGAAGAGGGACTCTTTGGAGGCTGTGGCAATGGAGCATCCAAGAATGAATGGGGAATATTGGTGTTTAACAATTCTTGATCTCCTCGGAAAGCTTCAGGCGGTCGATGTTGATGAGGTTGTTTCGTGGGTTCTCCAGTGCCAGCATGACTCAAGTTGTTACATTATATAGAATTCTTAGCTCAAAAGCACTAACTAGTTACTAGTGTTTTGTTCTTCATTGGTTGTTTATTGATTTAGAGTTTGAGAGAAAATGATGACACGATACAGCTTCATATATGCAGGTGGGTTCGAAGGTAACATTGGGCACGAGCCACATGTACAATACACCTTAAGTGCCGTGCAGGTTTTGGCCTTATTTAACAAGATTGATGTTCTGGATGCTGACAAGGTTGCAATTTGTATCCTTGTAGCACATCTATTTGTAAAATTCCAAATAAATCTTCATTTCCCTAAATGTATGCATTTTTAATTTGAATGGTGTACTAAACAACAACAACAACAACAACAAAGCCTTTTCCCACTAAGTGGGGTCGGCTATATGAATCCTAGAACGCCATTGCGCTCGGTTTTGTGTCATGTCCTCCGTTCGATCCAAGTACTCTAAGTCTTTTCTTAGAGTCTCTTCTAAAGTTTTCCTAGGTCTTCCTCTACCCCTTCGGCCCTGAACATCTGTCCCGTAGTCACATCTTCGAACCGGAGCGTCAGTCGGCCTTCTTTGCCCATGTCCAAATCACCGGAACCGATTTTCTCTCATCTTTCCTTCAATTTTCCCTTGAGCTTCAGTGGCCTACGACGGTCACATAACACGCCGGATGCACTCTTACACTTCATCCGTCCAGGTCGTATTCTATGGTTGAGATCTCCATCTAATTCTCCGTTCTCTTGCAAGATAGATCCTAGGTAGCGAAAACGGTCGCTTTTTGTGATCTTCGCTAGATTGCTCCGGTCATTAGTGTGGATAAGTATATAAATGGATAGAGATAGGAAAGCAAAACACAAGATGTACGTGGTTCACCCAGATTGGCTACGTCCACGGAAATAGAAGAGTTCTCATTAATTGTGAAGGGTTTACACAAGTACATAGGTTCAAGCTCTCCTTTAGTGAGTACAAGTGAATGATTTAGTACAAATGACATTAGGAAATATTGTGGGAGAATGATCTCGTAATCACGAAACCTCTAAGTATCGGAGTGTGGTGTCGTCTTGACTTGCCTTATCTGTCTCATAGGTAGATGTGGCATCTTCTCTGGAAGTACTCTTCCTCCATCCAGGGGTGGTATCTTTAACTGGTGGAGATGCACAAGGTAATGTATCAATTTCACTTGAAGCTTACTTGTAGTTTCAGGCTTGGTCAAGCGCGATACAAACCATGTAGTAGGAGTCCCCCAAGTCGCCGAGCTAGGGGGTCTGCTGAAAGAGGTGACAGACAAGGTAAGCAATCAGAGCTCCGACTGATTGTTCACCTTCTCCCCATCTTGCAGCAGCATGAAGGATAAAGAGAAGAAAAATGAGAAGAGATGATATGAGATACTTTTGCTTTTGAAGAAGTAACGTTCCACAGGCTTATTCTTGAACTGAGCTGGAGAGTTTTTTGGTTTCCTCCAGAGTATAAGGCCGACTGAAGAATTTGAGGGTCAAAACAAGTCCATCAAATCTAGAGTACGTTCGACCCTGCTGATATGGGATACTTTTGCTTTTGACAGAGTAGTAATGGATGTATCGGCACGTGTGCTGTTACGCTTGTCTCCACATGCTTCCTTGTATCCTTCGCACTTGCCCTATCTGTTCCTCAAGCAGATGCGGAATCTTCCCTGGAAACATAAGATGTTGAAGATGAGTACTCGAGAGCAATGCCAGGTAAGTAATCAGGTAAGGGGTTCCAGGCAGTCAGTTCCTGGCTGGAAGCTTGATTCCAAGTGCTGACTGATTGCTCTCTTTTCTCCTTGTCTTGCAGGTAAAAACAAGGCCAAAAGAAAAGACAGGGAAAAAGCATGATATGGGATACTCTTGCTTTTAACCCTGATGATATGAGATATTCTTGCTCTAGTATAGCTTGTTTGCAGAGGTATTATCGGGGGGAAAGAAAGCTGAATATTTCGAAAGGCTTCGTTGGGAGTGCCCTCTCAGATATGATGAAGGGTTGAGCATTTTTGCAAGTCTGCCTGTCCGTTGGGGATGGAGGTCGACATATATAGGAGTCTCCCTAACAACAAGTAGTAATGCTATTCCTTTACCCTGCTTGGTCATAGCACAGTAGTGGGAGCTGCCAGTTTCACATGTTTTAACTCTGTCAGAGCACTTTGAAAAAGTGGTCTGTGGTATATGGCTCTCGAGATTCGGAGAACGATGCCTCTTCGATTTTTGAGAAAGCAATCATGCTGGGGGTCTGACTCTCAAGATTCGGAGAGCAGTGTCTCTTCGATTTTTGAGGAAGTAATCATGTTGGGAGTCTGGCTCTCGAGATTCGGAGGGCGGTGCCTCTTCGATTTTGGAGCAAGCAATCTTGTTGGGAGTGTTGTCTCGAATGTGAGTAAAGGTTGGGCATGTTTGCTAGTCTACCTTGCCACGAAGCACAAAGGTTGACACACAGGGACTTTCCAATTATCCAGCAATGGTACTGTTCCTTTACCCTCTCTTCGATTTTGAGAAAGTAGTCATGTTGGGAGTCTGGCTCTTTAGATTCAGAGGACGGTGCCTCTTCGATTTTGGAGCAAGCAATCTTGTTGGGAGTGTTTTCTCGAATGTGAGTAAAGGTTGGGCATGTTTGCTAGTCTACCTTGCCACGAAGCACAGAGGTTGACACACACAGGGACTTTCCAATTATCCAGCAGTGGTACTGTTCCTTTACCCTTGTGGGTAATAATATGGTAACTAGACCTTCAAAATTTATGTGTCTAAACTTTGTTAGTGCTGTTTCTTTGCTATTCTTTTACCTTTCTTGGTCAGAGCGATGTAGTGGGAGCTGCAAGCTTCACGTGCTCAACTTTGGCAAAGTTATCTGTGGTACCCATGAGTTATTGTTGCGTGTGGGAAGTGAGTGATTGAACAGTAAGATTCATGTGCTTTCTACTTCACCAGAAGTCTTCGACAGAATGCCCATAATTTCTGCAAAGCTAAGTGTGTGTGACAGGTGCTGACAAGGCTAGAAAAGTAGGTGCCTCTTTGATTTCTGAGATCGGCCCTCGTGGTCTATGAGCAGCCCCAGCTTTTGAGAAAGCGAGCGCCTCTTCGATTGATTCGGAGAACGATGCCTCATCGATTTTTGAGAAAGCAATCATGCTGGGGGTCTGGCTCTCGAGATTCGGGGAGCAGTGTCTCTTCGATTTTTGAGAAAGTAATCATGTTGGGAGTCTGGCTCTCGAGATTCGGAGAGCGGTGCCTCTTTGATTTTGGAGCAAGCAATCTTGTTGGGAGTGTTTTCTCGAATGTGAGTAAAGGTTGGGCATGTTTGCTAGTCTACCTTGCCACGAAGCACAGAGGTTGACACACAGGGACTTTCCAATTATCCAGCAATGGTACTGTTCCTTTACCCTCTCTTCGATTTTTAAGAAAATAGTCATGTTGGGAGTCTGGCTCTTTAGATTCGGAGGACGGTGCATCTTCGATTTTGGAGCAAGCAATCTTATTGGGAGTGTTTTCTCGAATGTGAGTAAAGGTTGGGCATGTTTGCTAGTCTACCTTGCCACGAAGCACAGAGGTTGACACACAGGGACTTTCCAATTATCCAGCAGTGGTACTGTTCCTTTACCCTTGTGGGGTAATAATATGGTAGCTAGACCTTCAAAAATTTATGGGTCTAAACTTTGTTAGTGCTGTTTCTTTGCTATTCTTTTACCCTTCTTGGTCAGAGCGATGTAGTGGGAGCTGCAAGCTTCACGTGCTCAACTTTGGCAGAGAACTTTGGCAAAGTTATCTGTGGTACCCATGAGCTATTGTTGCGTGTGGGAAATGGGTGATTGAACAGTAAGATTCATGTGTTTTCTACTTCCTCAGAAGTCTTTGACAGAATGCCCATAATTTCCGCAAAGCTGAGTGTGCGTGTGACAGGTGCTGACAAGGTTGGAAAAGTAGGTGCTTCTTCGATTTCTGAGATCGGCCCTCGTGGTCTCTGGGGAGCCCAGCTTTTGAGAAAGCGAGCGCCTCTTCGATTTCTGAGATCGGCCTTCGTGGTCTTTGAGCAGCCCAACTTTTGAGAAAGCAAACACCTCTTCGATTTCTGAGATCAACCCTCGTGATCTCTAAGTAGCCCAACTTTTGAGAAAGCAAACGCCTCTTCGATTTCTGAGCAGGCGCCTCTTCGATTTCTGAAGCTCCGTCGAGTGCAGATTTTTATAGGGGCTATCATTAAGTTCCAAAGCACACTTGAATCTCCACCAGTAGAAGCTTCATTCTTGCACTTCTAAGATCTTGATTTGTCCGACCTCTTCTCTCTTCAACACCTTTGAAAATGTCTGGCCCCTCCGACCGTCGTTTTGACTTGAACCTTGTTGAAGAGGCAGCCCCGCCTTCTCCAGACAACATATGGCGCCCATCCTTCGTCTCCCCTACTGGTCCTCTTACCGTTGGGGATTCCGTGATGAAGAATGATATGACCGCTGCGGTGGTGGCCAGGAACCTTCTCACTCCCAAAGATAACAGACTACTTTCCAAACGGTCTGATGAGTTAGCTGTTAAGGATTCGCTGGCTCTCAGTGTTCAGTGTGCAGGTTCTGTGTCTAATATGGCCCAACGCCTATTTGCTCGAACCCGCCAAGTTGAATCATTGGCGGCTGAAGTGATGAGTCTCAAACAGGAGATTAGAGGGCTCAAGCATGAGAATAAACAGTTGCACCGGCTCGCACATGACTATGCTACAAACATGAAGAGGAAGCTTGACCAGATGAAGGAAACTGATGGTCAGGTTTTACTTGATCATCAGAGATTTGTGGGTTTGTTCCAAAGGCATTTATTGCCTTCGTCTTCTGGGGCTGTACCGCGTAATGAAGCTCCAAATGATCAACCTCTGATGCCTCCTCCTTCTAGGGTTCTGTCCAGTACTGAGGCTCCAAATGATCCCCCTCCGGTGCCTTCTCTTTCTGGGGCTCTACCGACTGCTGAGACTTCTCCTAAGCAACCTTTGTGAAGGCTCCCTCTTGTGTGTTTTATTTTGACTCATGTATATGTACATATTTGTAGCTTATCGGGAATATCAATAAATAAGCTTTCCTTCATTTCAACGTATTGTGTTAAATACACCAAAGCCTTCTTCGCTAAGTTCTTTGAATTTTCTTTTTTGAAGCTTGTATGTTGAAGCTTGTATGTTGAAGCTTTCTGAGTGGAGCATGTAGGTTGGGGTAGTGTTCCCTTAATTTCCCGAGTGAGGAAAACTTCTCGGTTGGAGACTTGGAAAATCCAAGTCACTGAGTGGGATCGGCTATATGAATCTTAGAACGCCATTGTGCTCGATCCTGTGTCATGTCCTTCGTTAGATCCAAGTACTCTAAGTCTTTTCTTAGAGTCTCTTCCAAAGTTTTCCTAGGTCTTCCTCTACCCCTTCGGCCCTGAACCTCTGTCCCATAGTCGCATCTTCTAATCGGAGCGTCAGTAGGCCTTCTTTGCACATGTCCAAACCACCGTAACCGATTTTCTCTCATCTTTCCTTCAATTTCGGCTACTCCTACTTTACCCCGGATATCCTCATTCCTAATCTTATCCTTTCTCGTGTGCCCACACATCCAACGAAGCATCCTCATCTCCGCTACACCCATTTTGTGTGTACGTGTTGATGTTTCACCGCCCAACATTCTGTGCCATACAGCATCGCCGGCCTTATTGCCGTCCTATAAAATTTTCCCTTGAGCTTCAGTGGCATACGGCGGTCACACAACACGCCGGATGCAGTCTTCCACTTCATCCATCCAGCTTGTATTCTATGGTTGAGATCTCCATCTAATTCTCCGTTCTTTTGCAAGATAGATCCTAGGTAACGAAAACGGTCGCTCTTTGGTATTTCTTGATCTCCGATCCTCACCCCTAACTCGTTTTGGCCTCCATTTGCACTGAACTTGCACTCCATATATTCTGTCTTTGATCGGCTTAGGCGAAGACCTTTAGATTCCAACACTTCTCTCCAAAGGTTAAGCTTTGCATTTACCCCTTCCTGAGTTTCATCTATCAACACTATATCGTCTGCGAAAAGCATACACCAAGGAATATCATCTTGAATATGTCCTGTTAACTCATCCATTACCAACGCAAAAAGGTAAGGACTTAAGGATGAGCCTTGATGTAATCCTACAGTTATGGGAAAGCTTTCGGTTTGTCCTTCATGAGTTCTTACGGCAGTCTTTGCTCCTTCATACATATCCTTTATAGCTTGGATATATGCTACTCGTACTCCTTTCTTCTCTAAAATCCTCCAAAGAATGTCTCTTGGGACCCTATCATACGCTTTTTCCAAATCTATAAAAGACCATGTGTAAATCCTTTTTCCCATCTCTATATCTTTCCATCAATCTTCGTAAGAGATAGATTGCCTCCATGGTTGAGCGCCCTGGCATGAACCCGAATTGGTTGTCCGAAACCCGTGTCTCTTGCCTCAATCTATGCTCAATGACTCTCTCCCAGAGCTTCATTGTATGACTCATTAGCTTAATACCCCTATAGTTCATGCAATTTTGTACGTCACCCTTATTCTTGTAGATAGGCACCAAAGTGCTCGTTCGCCACTCATTTGGCATCTTCTTCGTTTTCAAAATCCTATTGAAAAGGTCAGTGAGCCATGTTATACCTGTCTCTCCCAAAAGTTTCCACACTTCGATTGGTATATCGTCTGGGCCTATTGCTTTTTTTATGTTTCATCTTCTTCAAAGCTACAACCACTTCTTCCTTCCGGATTCGACGATAAAAAGAGTAGTTTCTACACTCTTCTGAGTTACTCAACTCCCCTAAAGAATCACTCATTTCATGTCCTTCATTGAAAAGATTATGAAAATAACCTCTCCATCTGTCTTTAACCGCGTTCTCTGTAGCAAGAACCTTTCCATCCTCATCCTTGATGCACCTCACTTGGTTTAGGTCCCTTGTCTTCTTTTTCCCTTGCTCTAGATAGTTTATAGATATCCAACTCTCCTTCTTTGGTATCTAGTCGTTTATACATATCGTCGTAAGCCGCTAACTTAGCTTCTCTGACAGCTTTCTTCGCCTCTTGCTTCGCTTTTCTATACCTTTCACCATTTTCATCGGTCCTCTCCTTGTATAAGGCTTTACAACATTCCTTCTTAGCCTTCACCTTTGTTTGTACCTCCTCATTCCACCACCAAGATTCCTTTTGGTGTGGGGCAAAGCCCTTGGACTCTCCTAATACCTCTTTTGCTACTTTTCGGATACAACTAGCCATGGAATCCCACATTTGGCTAGCTTCCCCCTCTCTATCCCACACACATTGGGTGATTACCTTCTCTTTGAAAATGACTTGTTTTTCTTCTTTTAGATTCCACCATCTAGTCCTTGGGCACTTCCAAGTATTGTTCTTTTGTCTTACTCTTTTGATATGTACATCCATCACCAACAAGCGATGTTGATTAGCCACGCTCTCTCCTGGTATAACTTTGCAATCCTTACAAGTTATACGATCCCCTTTCCTCATTAGAAGAAAATCTATTTGTGTTTTTTGACGACCCACTCTTGTAGGTGATCACATGTTCTTCTCTCTTCTTAAAGAAGGTGTTGGCTAAGAAGAGATCATATGCCATTGCAAAATCCAAGATAGCTTCCCCATCCTCGTTTCTCTCCCCAAAACCATGGCCACCATGAAAACCTCCATAGTTGCCTGTCTCCCTGCCCACGTGTCCATTTAAATCTCCTCCTATAAATAACTTCTCCGTCTGAGCAATTCCTTGCACCAAGTCTCCAAGATCTTCCCAAAATTTCTCCTTCGAACTCGTATCCAACCCTACTTGAGGTGCGTACGCACTAATCACATTGATAAGTTCTTGTCCTATTACAATCTTGATTGCCATGATTCTATCTCCTACCCTCTTGACATCTACAACATCTTGTACCAAGGTCTTGTCCACGATGATGCCAACACCGTTTCTCGTTCTATTTGTGCCCGAATACCAAAGTTTAAACCCTGAGTTTTCTAGATCCTTTGCCTTACTACCAACCCACTTAGTTTCTTGTAGGCACATAATATTTATCCTTCTCCTCACCATAACTTCCACTACTTCCATAGATTTTCCCGTTAAGGTTCCTATATTCCACGTTCCTAAACGCATTTTGCTCTCTTGAACTCTACCCTTCTGTCCTAGCTTCTTCACCCTCCCCTGTCTAATAGGATCAAAGTACTTCTTTTGTGTGTCCCGGGTAAAGTTGATAGGAGCATATGCTCCCAAACAACTTTGAGTGGAGTCGTTCGAAAAGAAGTTTCTATGGCCCCCTTGCTCATTGAGCTACAAGCAACCGCTCTAACAGAAATTACAAAGAAGTTTCTAGATCCTTTGCCTTACTACCAACCCCCTTGCTCATTTGTAGGCACATAATATTTTCTGGGGATGGGTAGGGTGAAATTGATACAATGTAGTCATTTCCAATTTCCTGTGTGTTTTTGCACCTCATATTTGTTGAAGTTACCATCTGTTTATTTGAAACATGATTTAGTAACAAATTGTTTCCATTTCTTGAAACGAAAGAGAAAGTAAACAGTTATAATTTATTTCAGGTTGTCTTATATTGCTATATCGTGTCTCTCATTACTACATCGTTTGGATAAAATCAGTGTGGAGAAGGCCGTGAACTATAGTGTAACTTGTAAAAATCATGTTGGTGGATTTGGATGCACACCTGGTGGGAAGTCTCATGCAGGTCAAAGTATGTTACTTACCATATAGTATGCGTATGAAGCCTTAGTTTCTGATTTGTTGTTTCCTTTTTTCACTCTTCAATGGAAATAGTAGTCATCCTTGCATTGCATCTCTTTTGAATGGAACTGATCTTCACTGTAACTTACGGGGTCCTGAGAAGGCAATGCCAGAATAACTGATCTTTGATGAAATATCAGTCAAACTCCCATGTGTAAGGAAATATTCTTAATCTTGCTTAAACGATCCACATTTGATCCGGGAATGGCATATTTATTCAGTTATACTATCTGGATGACAAAATTAGACTCATTTAAACTTTGTTCTGCCCGTGTCGACTGCAGTTTTCTGTTGTGTGGGTGCTCTTGCTATTATGGGGTCTCTTCATCGTATTGATAAGACCTTCTTGGGTGGTGGTTATGTCAGCAGCAAGTTAATTCTGGAGACATTCTTAACAAAGCAAAAGTTAAACCTGGCGGCCTTAATGGCCGTCCAGAAAAAATTCATGATGTTGGGTTTTTTTTGTTTTGTTTTGTTTTGTTTTTTTTTAAATTGAAACAATTTTGCTTCAGTTAGCATTCTTGTACACTTCCTTACTGCATTTACACTTTGTTTCAGATCTGGTACTCATGGTGGGTTCTTTCTAGTTTGGTCATCATTGACAGAGTTCATTGGATTGGTAAGGAAAAGCTTGTCAAGTTCGTTTTAGACTGCCAGGTTAGGTTACCCTAACAAGCTATATGTACATTTGGGTTATCCCTGTTATCTTATTTCCAGAATGCAATGCTATTCGTGCAACTACTGATTTATCTGAGATGTTGTGGCTAATATCATTGAATATTGCAGGACATTGAAAATGGAGGAATTTCTGACAGACCAGATGACACTGTTGATGTCTACCATACATACTTTGCTGTAGCTGGTATATAAGCTTTGGCGTTACCTTTGTTTGTTTTCCTCATTTCTTCGCCTAATTATTTGTCATCTTTTAAGCTCTAACCTTTCTGGACGTTATAGTTGATGGGTGGTTGGAGCTTCAGAGTTTCCAACTTCATCCAAAAGAGTTGCTAGGATCTGCTTATGACTGGGATAAAATTTCAAATGATTACATGAGATGATTTATGTTCTTCGTGGAGTCTCATTCTTCCACGGTATTGATTAATTAAGGTTGATGCAGGATTTTCCCTTCTTCAATATCCCGGGGTGAAAGCCATAGATCCAGCTTATGCTTTACCAGTTGATGTTGTGAATAGGATTACCTTGGGCAAATAAAGGTTTGTTCTTGCTGCAATTGAATACCTTTTTGCTCTCTTATAATGTCACAATTGCTAGTCCCTATTGTGTTTAGTTTGATGGCTCAATTCAGCTACTTTAAAAAACAATGTACCGCGTTTTACATAATTCAGCTACTTTATGTTTTGCAATACCCCCAGAAACTAGACTTCGATCCCACTTTCTTCCCCGAAACTCAAATTTCACCACTTTACACCTTGGAACTTAATTTTTGTTCCACTTTGCTATTTTCCGTCAAAATACCACTCTCGTCTTTTCTCAAAACCTTTATATACCCGAGCACGAGCCTGCCCTTTTTTCTACTTAAAAGACCCTACTCTCTCTCTCTCTCTTAGAAAGAAACAGGATACCGTGTTGGAAGTTTAGATAGACGGGCCTGGAGGGACACCGATACTGTTTCCAACTTGGTACTTACCACCTGCCCAATCCGTCAGATGTGAGGTTTTATCACAAAAGACCTTGGTATTAGTTAGAGTGGGGTAATCATATTTAAACTCATTACTTTTTCTCTCCCCCACTGATGTGGGTTAGCCAACGTTTTGTTCTGAAAATAATTCGTGTTGCACTGTGTCTCTTAATTCACAGACTAGTGGTGCTTGACGAAAATGCTGAAAAAGATCCAAGGTAAATTAACTCTTAATCAAGTTTCGCTTTAATTAATTTACCAAACCATTGTTTTTCTTTATCGGCACGAACAGTGGTGCTGATATTAATCTGACTGAAATTGAAATGTTAGTTTGTGTTTGGATGGTTCATTAGGAGCATCATATAATGTTAGTATGTGTTACTTTTTAAATTTTGTTTGCAATCTTTTCATTTGATTATTAACCATTAACCTTTTTTTGCAGGTGCCTTCTACTCTTGTAATTTGGAGCTTGAAGCTGTTGAAATGTTAATGATTTATGTATATAATTGTAGGGCACAACCGTATACTCTTGTGTACTTGTTCAGTAATATGACTCAATTAACTACTTAATCAGCAGAGATTGAGGATTAATAAAGTTTTGATTTTTGATTGACGCAGTATTTTGTGCGCGTAGACGAGAATCCCAAATTTTGTACATATACTTTTCTTGTTTCTTAATCCCTAATTTTGTGCATGTACAAGAAGTTTACTCATGCTCCAAGCAACAGATCGATATAGACCTTCCCATTGGGTTAACAAAACCGTGAGGGCGTGGTCGGGGCTCAAAGCGGACAATATCGTGCTACGGTGGAGTTGAGCCAGGGATGTGGTTAGGCCCCTAAGGGGGTGGATTGTAAGATCCCATATCGCCCAGGGGTGAGAATCCTGTAAGTCTTATATGTATATTCTCATCTCTACCTAACACAAGGCCTTTTGAGAGCTCATTAGCTTCGGGTTCCATCGGAACTTCGAAGTTAAGCGGGTTCACGTGAGAGTATTCCCAACGAAGTTAAGCGAGTTTGCGCGAGAGCATTCCCAGGATGGGTGACCCACTGGGAAGTTCTGCTTGCGTGAGTTCTCAGAAACAAAACTGTGAGGACGTGGTCGGGACCCAAAGTGGACAATATTGTGTTACGGCGAAGTCAAGTTCGGGATGTGGTGGGTGTCCGGATTGGGATGTGACATTCTCAATCCTCGGAAGAAGTGAATAACGGTGGCTTGCCACCTGTTGTTCTCTTTTAAAAAAAATAAATTACACCTAAGAATAATTTGTTTGATTGCTAATATGAATAGTTACATTGTGGCCTAATGCTCTCATCGCGAAGAGTTTGCGTCCCAAAGTCCTTTTTGGGCCCAGCAGTAAGCATGCAACCTCCTCCCTTTTAAAGAACAGTAAGCATGCAGCCTCCTCTCTTTAAAGAAGGTTTAGGGCTTACGGTTTTAGGATTTAGGGTTTATGCACCCTCTTTGAACTATTTTACTTTCACATTCTCACAACGCTTTTTGTGATAAATATCCTCTCCATTGTGAAAGCAACCAAAAAAAATGTCAACAGCATTTCACAGTTCACATGATCATTCATGTTAGCTCCCCCATATCATAAGCTCAAACAACTCCACCAATCCATGGTTGCCGCCAGGACGAATATAATCAGTGACCCCTCCCTTGATCTGTACTTTGGCGTCCAACCAGACAGCCTGGCCCCCGATAAGTACAAAAAACTCGATCAGCTACTACCACTGGCATGGTCCCACAATCCCCTCACCACCCTCAAGCTCATTTGTAACCTACGAGACGATTCCAACGCTCGTGGAAAATCTGATGAAAAAGCGTTTTACAGGGCGGCGCTATGGCTCCGCAAGAACCACCCCCGGGCTCTGAAACGCAATGTCGCCTCTATTGCCCGCGGCGAGTATACCAAGTCGGTCGGAACTGTGGATGACCTCGCCCAGATTCTCTACTGCATTACAAGGACCTTGAGAGGTACGAGCGTGACTTGGATTATCGCTTCTTACAATACCGGGTTACGGATCTCTTCGCAGACTATTTAAAAGTCCAATATTCAAAACTTGAAGAAGCAGGAGCCTGTTCGTTACTACGATTGTTTACCTCCTAATATGGGCTCCTCCGTGGACGGCACCACTCGACTGTGCGAAAGCATTGCAAAGACGGTTTTTCCGCGAGAATCGTACCCAGACTACCAAGGCCTCGAGGAGGCCCGTTACTCGTCCGTCGTCCGAGATCGTCTCAGGAAGGAGGTCTTGGTTCCCTTGAATAAGTACTTAGCGTATGAAGAACCTCCGCATCACCAGCCAAAGGGCTGTGATAATAAAAAGCATTTGGAGGAGGTGAATGCAAACCCGAAGAATATTGAGGCCGCTACTTTGCTTCCACATGAGATTGTAGAATATGCAAATGATGGGGAGGTCGGGAAAGCGGCTGAGCTTCAGTGGAAGACAATGGTGGAAGATATCTACTCAAAGCACGGCAAGTTCAAAAACTGCGTGGTTGTTTGCGACGTCTCGCCTTTCGTGGCCAAGCTCTACAGTGGTGTGTTTCGTGGCCTTGGCAGTGTTGGTGTCTCAACTGAGTGAAGAGCCATGGAATGGAAAGGCAATGATCTTAAGTCAAAGTGTGAGTTTGTGAGGAGGATGGATTGCGGCCGGGAAGTTGATTTTCACAAGGTGTTTGATTTATTTCTCCAAGTGGCGGTAAATGAAAATTTGAGGCCAGATCAGATGATCAAGAAGGTGTTTGTGTTGACCGACTACAAATGTTTTGATCGGGCTTGGGCTAGTACTTCTAGTTTTGGGAGTCTGATTACGAGGCTATACAAAACAAGTACAAGGAGAAAGGGTACGGTGATGCAGTGCCACAGATTGTGTTTTGGGAGCTCGAAGCATGGGTGGCCACCACGATTAGTCTTTGTAAAGGACTACCCTATTGTGATTAATTAGCTTTGACCATCTACAACTAGAATAATAAAACCGTTGTCTGTTCTCTATCTTCTTTTCTTTTTGCTCTCTCTATCATTTTGTTGAATGTATTTACTTAGTTAAAATAACTATATATTTAGATTCATATATATTGGATATATCCTAAGATAATTTTATTTTGGACAATTGATAAGATAATCTACACGAAATTCATCTAAATTACGAGAATGGGGATTCGAACTAAGGACATATGTTGCATAGACGAATGCTCTCAACCAACTGATCAGTTCATCCATCTTAAGATAATTGGATGTACAAGTCACTTGCATATATCCTAAGAAATATTGACTCACTCAGCTGCTATTTGAAAAATTGTTACACCAAGTCAAAAGGATATCCTCCAAAATCCAAATCCCTCCACTTCCACCTTTGGCTCCTAAGAATCCTCACAAACCCCTATTTTCCTCAGTAACAAACTTCATCGATCACTCTTTTTAAGTCGATTTGGTGCTCTAACTTGCTCATACACATTACTATTTTATTCTTCCAATTACGCAAGCTAGAGAACAATATTCCAAACTACACATACGTACTCGATGGACTCCTCCAAAGTATTTCTCTTATTTTTTCTTATTTCTAGTATCCAAGTCTTTTTTGTAACTTGTACTCAGTTTGAAGTTGAAGACAAGAGCAATGGATGGGAGGTACCCAAATCAAAAACTGACCAAGATATGTACAACAAATGGGCCTCCAAGAAAAGGTTCAAGGTTGATGACACTATCTGTGAGTACTTTCCCAAAAGAATTTTATTGTCTTAGCAATTTTATTGTGTCGTAGCTACAGACATTAGTTGCACAAGATGAAGTAGGTTTTCGGCCTCTCAGTAGTGGCTAGCTAACCGGTTCGTAAAAGGCATATATCCCTACGTAATTAATAATTGTGCAACTAATATCAATGATTATTCTCAATTTTTTTTTTTTGTGTGCAGTGTCTTATATACCGTTGTATTGTGTAATATATATTTTGGGTTGTAATTTTCTTGTGGATCACTCTTATATATCCAGACTTCAGTTACAAGAAAAACACGGACTCAGTGTTGGTAGTGACCAAGGAAGATTACAAAAATTGCAATTCGGATCAACCGATTTACTTCTCAAACGATGGTTACAGCGTGGTGATACTGGACCGACCCGGTTTGTTCTATTTCATCAGTGGGGTTGCTGGACGTTGTGAGAAAGGCCAGAAGATGATCATCAAAGTCATGGAACCAGTTGCTGTAGGTGCACCTAACCAATCTCCAAAAGACCACAGTGCAACTGACTCACCACCACAGCAGAACGCCTCCAAAAACCATAAGGCCAATGGTGCATTTGCAGTCTCTGCTGCCGTCTCTTCCACATCTATTATCTTATGCATCATAATATCACTCCTTGGGCTCTTTTTCTTCTAAACTAACGCAATTATAAATTCTTATGCATTTGCAGTCTCTGCTGCCGACATTCACCTCTCCCAGACCCTGCGTAAAGCGGGAGCCTTGTGCACTGGGTACGACCTTATTAATCTTCAAATCTTGTTGAAATCTGATACCAAAATTGTGTGGTAGCTAGCTAAGTCCTAGGGGAACTGGATCCTCTCATGAGCTCATGATGGGGATCCTCATAAGTAGCTCATCCGGGCAGTTCAAACTTGATCCAACAACTGCAATTATTATAACTTTTAGAGAGATCTCATGTTTGGAGCCGTTTGATCAAATTTCAACGGCCCGAATGAGTTGCTCAAGAGGATCCCCATCTTGAGCTCAGGAGAGGATCCAGTTCCAGTCCTAGGGAGGCCCATATTTTGTTATTGCCAAATCAAAGACGTATGCTAGTCCATCACTTTTCATTCACATGATACAACGGGATCAAACTTCTACAAGAGCATAACCTTACATGAATTGTGCTAAGGAAATATGTTGTTTGCCCATTTCTTAACGATTCTTGTTTTATTTCTTTTACTTTTCAGAATGTATTGTATAAAAAAGAACAAAAGCAAAAAAGAAAAAACTCTTGAGTATGTTTGAGTAATATTTGAAAGGTTTAATTTCAAACGAGATCAATTTAAAATTGATTTTGGTTTTTGTTATTATTTTTATGTGCATTTTTTCCATCTATTATCCCGGCACCCTTTCTTTGTTCTCATTTGTTGATTCTTTGTTAATTTTGTTTTATTTCAATTTACAATGAAAATTAAAAATGAAATAGTTATCAAAGATGCAAAATATTATGAAAAATAATTATAAACTTTTGCATCTTTTGATAGCATAGCCTGCTTCAAACGCTACCTCTAAGGCAATACATAACATATATACCCGCATAAAGATTCAACATTATGCAAGAATATATGGTCAAAAGATAAGAGAGAATAATAATAATTGAAGCATGATTCTAAAATGTTCGAGAGGCAGAACATGCAGAGCCTCTCATTTGGCAAATCAAAATCTCCCATCACCATAGCCTCCAGTCCAAAAGGGGAAAACTCAAATATTCCAAAAAATAATTCAATTCTCCAAATATGGCAGGTCCTAGTTTTTTTTTTTTTTTTTCTTATTCGCAAATACAGTTTGTTAACACAGAAAAAATGCAGGATTCCAAAGGCTTGTCAAAATTTTTAGGGTTACTATCATCCTAGGGCCAGAAAGA